TAAAAAAAAGGCTGAGAAGTTAGAGGGTTGATATGTTGTGGTGTTGTTAACCAATGTCATAAAACAACATGTGTACTACTGTTTCACGAGGAACTATTTGTTCTGTAAGCCTTCACCTGAAGTACAATTAAGGAAAAAAATTAAATAAAATAGTAAAAAACAAAAAAAAACAAAAAAAACTTGTAGGATGTAGCTAAAGCTGGGTTAATAGAGAAATTCATAACCTTAAATGCATACATTAGAACAGAAATAAAACTGAAAATGGTATTTCACTACTCTTAGGACAAAATTAAAATCTCTAGTATGATAAAGTCGTGCCCTATCTGGCTCCTGTGGACTTGCTGGAGCTTCATTATTGCTTCTCTCTCAGCATTCATTACTCTCCAGCCATACTGACCTTCTCTCAGTTCCTTGAGTATGCTAAATTACTTCCTGCCTCAGGCCTGTGAACATGCTGAGCCTTCTGTTTGAAATGCTTTTTTCTTCCTCTGGCCAACTTCTACTCTTCCTGTCATTTCCTTAGAGAAGGCTTCCCCACCCTCCCAGTCTAGATTACACTCCTCTGACATACTCTTTTTAATTCAAACTCTCATTCATGGCATTCATTACTGTAATTAAATAATTGGGTAATTGCTTCTTGTATAATTAATTTTTAAATATTGTTTGTCATCCCCCAAATGTTGTAAGTTCCTTGCTGCAGGGACTGAAGCTGTCTTGTTTATCATTGTATCCCCAGTGCCTAGCATGGTGCCTGGAAAATAGTAGGCACTCAATACATGTGTGTTAAATGAATGAATGAATGAATGAATACACAAACCACTAGTTTACTTTCTAAGTAACCATTCGGTTTACTCAAGTTGTTAAAGACCTCCACTGTCTTGGAAGGAAACTCCCCACTATTAACTGCTGACAGCAGTTGGCTTTATGTCTATGGCACTTACAATGCAATTTAGTCATTTGCTAATAAAAGAAATCTCCTAATCAAGGATCCCCTCTTCCCCTCAACAACGTTTAAGCAAAACAATTTCTGACTCTACACAGCTTCCCGTTTAATCCATTTGGGAAAAGACATAAAATGTTTTGTAAATTCAATTTATTGATCAAACTTGCTCTACTCTATGCTACGTGCTGTAAAAGTGATTCAAATGACAGTCATTATTAGTAACAGTCACACTAATACCAATAACAATCATTAGCATCCTAGGTCTACTTTCTGTGGATTGTCTCACTTAACCATCACTTAAAACCTTAAAGGAGGTATTGTCTGTTTTGTAGATGAGGAAGCTGAAGCCCAAAGAGGTAAAGTGACTCACCCAAAAGCATATAACCAGGCAGTGGCAGGGCCACAGTTTGAGCCCAGGTCCATCTGACTGCAGAGCTCAGGGAGCCTCTTGGCACCCCATCCTGCTGCCGGTCTTACATTCAGAGAGAAAGAGTCTCTGAGGGACAAAGAACAACCCAGGGCACCACAGGCAAATGCCTCGCAGTACAAACCATGCTCCAGGAGTGTGCACTGAGAACCCACCTGGAGGCCCTCAGGCAAGGCTTCACCAAGTTGTACCTTGAAAGGGAGACAGGCCACAGATGAAGGGAGCCAATTTTCCAGGCAGGTGAGCAGAAGTTTGGAGGCCAAAATGTGAACGCCCTACTTTGGGGATAGTGTCTAAGGCTAGTTTGGCTGGAAGGAAAGGTCTGGGTAGGGAGCTGTGATGGACAATGATGGCGAGGTTCACTCTAGTGATCTTAACCAAAACACTCAAGACTAGAGAACACTAAGAAGTCACTGAAGAAGGCACGTGTGCAGAGCATTACTTCTGGCAAATAAACATCACATGGTTGGTAGGCAGGATGAGTGGGAAAGGAGACCAAAGAGGAAGCGAACCAGTGAGGGTGACCAAGAGTGCTCAGGGGAATTCCACGAGATTACGTGGAGACAGAACAGTTTTGGGGAACAGTGCTGAACTACAGTCTACCTAGACTTGGAGGAGGTCCACAGAGGGACTCTGCTCTGAACTGGGGCTTGACCCAAATCTTTCTGACCCAGATACTCTACTTACCTTCTGCTACCAGGGAAGCAACAGGCTTTCCAGGCCCACACCTGTGGAACTGTAGGCAGCCTTACGAGCCATGGAGTCAGTTGCTGATTCATTTCACAAATATCTAGGGATGTCTAGTCTGTCAGGCCCTGTGCTAGACATGAGGGTACAGTGTTCAATCAGATAGGTCCTTGCCTCTAGGAGCTCCCATCTCCTAGACATACACACAGTTAACACAGGCTATCGGAGTTATGATAAGGCTGCCTTGGGACTCAGAAGTGGTGGATGTGTCTTAGGTTCAGTGTCTTGTTACCATGAGAGGTGGGGTGGCCTTGACATCAGAACAGTGGCTCCAACACAGTCTGAGCTAATTTTGAACCCCAGCTCCACCACGCAACCAGCTGTGTGACTGTGGACAGAGCAAGAGAGTTATTCAGCCTATCTAGCCTCATTTCCTCACCTGTAAAATGGAACTAGTAATAGTAAATGAGATGACATATTTGAAGTGCCTTACATAGTACCTACCATTTAGTATGTGCTCAGTACTCATTGCCCATTGCCACAGAATCAACTGTGACTCATAGCAACCCTATAGGAGCCCCATAAGATTTCCAAGGAGTGGCTGGTGGATTCAAACTGCCAACCTTTTGATTAGCAGCCAACCTCTTAACCACTGCACCAGTAATTATTATCATGGGATGCTGTAAACAAACAAATACCCTTATACTTCACTAAGATTAATATGCTTAAATGCCACCTCCCGTTTGCCTTCAGAAGATATGAAGATGAGAAAGGATATAACATCAAACTGACTAAGCCAGGGGCCAGAGGGCCAGGAGGCCAGGAGTCCCAGGGCAGTGGGCCACATGGCAGACAAAAAAGACTGTAGTCACTGACAGTAAAGCTATCTGGGTCCTTTCCTTCAGAAGCCACTTGGGGCTTCTCCCACAGTCTCTGTCCCTTGGCGAGCCATCCATCGACCCAGACAAAGAGAGAGAGAACCTATGGATTTGGCATCTGCTACCTTCACTTCCCTTCTGGAAGTACGCTGGGGCGGGAAGAGGGGGAGGCTGTGATGTGTGCCAATTTCCAGCGGTCATGTTACTGTGCTGGCTGTTATGCAGCCGTCCCCTTCATGTGACAGCCTTCCAGTCTCTCCCTCTCACTGATTTGTGATTCTGAGTACTTCTTGTCCCGGATAAACTGGGATGTAAAGTGCTCCCCAGCACCGGGGAGGAGCCGTTCAGAAACGGGCCCTCTGAGCTGTCTGCTTTGAGGGAGGGGGTCTGCCTATAGGGTGGCACACACATCCTGTAAGGACAGCCAAAAGTTTCCTCAATTGGTCAGGGGTCCACCCAAACCAAAGGTGCTCCCTTGCATCCGAAGTCCAACAAAATCCCAGTACCACCAAGGGTGTTGTTTCCACTTAGGAAAAGCCACCCAAACAGGCCCCTCTCTCCATCGATTTCCTGGTCTCCAGCTAGCTGCTGGTAAATTCCTCCGAGCTTCCTGTTATTGGCTCTAGGACTTGAAATTTCAAAATCATTTGTTTCTCTTCCCAAATCTATTCTTTAGTCATTTCAACCACAATCTAATGGCATTTCCACCCAGTTTCAGGCATTTTGTGCTCAAGGATACAACTCTTAAACAGTTGTTCTTTTCATCCCCTTAGGACCTGCACTGACTGCTCACCTGCCCCGTTTCCCTACCTGGCGCTGCACATGATTTCGCTGGTAGCCATTCCTGCAAATGTTTGTTACTTCCTAGTTATCCAATCTGCTCCATGATATTTTCTTCTCCTTGTGCCCAATTTAACTGACCACCATTTTGTTACTGTGATTGGTTTGCCTGTTGAGTCATCATGACTCACTCTGGAGGGGGAGAGCCCAGCCGAGGAGGTGGAAGGAGTTCGTAAGAGTCCTCTTAGCTCATTTATGAAAGTCCCTGGGTCATGCAAATGATTTATGTGCTTGGCTGCTGACCGAAAGGGTAGAGGTTTGAGTCTACCCAGATGTGTCTCAGAAGAAAGGCCTGGTGATCCACTTGCAAAAAATCAGCCACTGAATACTCTATGGAGAACTGTTTTATGACACACCTGGGGTCACCATGAGTCAGGATCAACTGGACGGCAATTGGTACTGGAAATCAGGTCCACAGAGACCATCCCAACATAAAGAGCCCAGAAAACAAGGCACTGTTACCCTTTCCCACGCGAATGTTTCAGACCCTTCAGTGCCCTGCTCTTGGAAGTAGGCTGGAGTGAGAAGAGGGGGTGGCTGTGGTGTTTGCCAATTTGCCTAACTAATCAGAGCTGTGTGGTGATGAGATACCGTATCTACCTCCCCTCCTTCTTGCTGTTCAGTCTCACAGTCCCCAACTGACAGCACAGGGAATGTGGGCCGTGAAGGAAGACAGACATGGTACAGAACTCTGGCACAAAGACCTCAGCAAGTAACCAAGACCTCTGAACCACAGCTCTTCTTGGAGGGAAATGGGGCCACCCTTAGTGTCAACATACAAGAGGTGCTTAGCACACAGCACCAGGCAAGCGGAAGGTGAGTAGGCTGCTCTAGAAAACAATCACCTCAAAGCAGGGAGGGGAGAAGAAGGCCAGGGGGCACTCCTTTCTCTACTCCCTCCGGGGCCTGATCACCAGCTCCTCTCCTAGCTAGAAAATGAAAAGCAGCTCCTGCTCACCAGAAACTGGGCTGTGAAAGCACCTCTGTTGCATCTGCCTCAACCACACTTTAATTTACCAAGGAGCTGGTGGAGAGCTGAGTACTGATTTGGTCAATAACAGAGAACCAATGGCCATGGTCGATCCAGGTGAAAGAGCTGAGTAACAGATGGTTCACTGTGTTATGACAGAAATCTGAAATTAGGCAGGTGGTGGCAGGTTTCAAGCCACATGTGGGAATTTTCACAAACACAGTGCAAGTTTACAAAGAATAAACAAATTCTTACTTTATTGTGCTCTCCATTTTCGAAGCTGCCTCATGGAATTGCTGTGAAGACAGTTTATACATCTCGGCACTCTATGAAAAGAACAGAACTGGTCACTGTTTTAGTCATCTAGTGCTGCTATAACAGAAATACCACAAGTGGATGGCTTTAACAAAGAGAAATTTATTTCTTCACAGTAAGGTAGGCTGAAAGTCCAAATTTAGGGTGTCAGCTTCAGGGGAAGGCTTTCTCTCTCTCGGCCTTTTCATCGATGTTCCCCTAGACTAGGAGCTTCTCGGCGTAGGGACCCTGCTCCAAAGGACGCGTTCTGCTCCCAGCACTGCTTTCTTGATGGTATGAGGTCACCCAGTCTCTTTGCTCACTTTTTTCTTTTATATCTCAAGAGATTGCCTCAGGACACAATTTAGTCTTGTAGATTCAGTCCTGCCTTACTAACACAACTGCCACCCATTCTCCCTCACTAACATCATAGAGGCAGGTTTACAACATACAGGAAAATCACACAGTACCAGGAATTATGGCCTAGCCAAACTGGTACACACATTTTTTGGGGGCATAATTTAAACCATGACAGTTACCAAAGACTGAAATTTCTCTCTGGCTCCTTCATGGGATGCAAGCAAATTAGAAACAGAGAGTTGCTAATTTCCTGACCAGCATCAATGCAGACTGGTCATTAATTCACAGCTTGTGTCCTAGTCCACCATGAACGGGCTGCTGCTAGAGAATCCTAGACTAGCACAGGATGGAAGAACATTATGAGATCATCTAGTTCAGGGACCAGCAAACCACGACTCATAAGCAAGTCCAGCCCGTCGTCTGTTTTTGTTTAAGTAAAGTTTTATTGAAACATCGCCTCATTCATTGTTTATGTATTGCCTGTGGTGGCTTTTTGCTACAACAGCAGAGTTGGGTATTTGCAACAGAGGCTATATTACCTGCAAGGCCTAAAATACTTAATATCTTTCAAAAAAAGTGTGCTGGCCCTTAATCTGGTCCAATGTCTATTTTATAGATGGACTCTGATGCCCAGAGAGGTGAAGTGACTTGCCCAAAGTGATGAAGCAAGTGGCAGCACCAGCAATAAAACCCAGGTGGTCTGGATTTGCAGTCTGCACTCTCTGCTGCCTACCATGACCACCTGCTCACCTGCACGGCAGTCACTGGTCCAGAGTGCTGTAGGTGGTTCCAAAGCGCTTTTATTCTAAGAATACATATTCTGTGTGTACATACAGAGGCAAGTGGGTGTAGGAAGAGCCCGGGCTTAGAAGAAGACAGAGCTAGGTTTAAATCCTGGCTCCACTTTTGTGTGGCTCTAGGTAAGTTACTTAACTTCTTTCTACTTCAGAGGTGAGTCGTCCAAGGTCTCACAGGCCCAGAACCCAGCTCTCCTTTCCATGCTGTGTTCCCGACTTTTCACTAGTTTTCAAAGGAGATCAGAAACAAGGGTGGGCAGTGAGAACCTCACCAGTGATGGTGATACAAACATCAGCAGATGCCACACAGAGTCTACCTCCTACCTGCCAGGCTTGATGCCAGCCCCTCACAGACTTTCAGGAAGGGAGTATTAACCCTGTTTTACAGATATGCAAACTGATGCTTTAGGCTTTAGGTGCCCACTTCTGGCATGGCTCAGTCAGTTACTGCAACAAGCTTGCAAGGGAGGTAGAGAATTTGCCCAGGCCACGTGGATTCCTATGCCATGGAGCTGGGGTCCACCTGTAGGCACGCTGGGCTCCAGGCCTGGGCTCTCTCCACTCCACTATGGCACAGATAGCCTGGCCCATAAGGAACCCAGTCAGAAGGATTAAGCCAGTTCTCAGAAAGAGGCTCAGAGTCAGAGCCAAAGCAGGGAAAGCATCATACACCCCATGGACATAATAAAGGCAGCCAACACCTAGGGACAGGCAATGCCATCCCCCAAGGACTACAGAGCATTGAAAGCTGAATGTGGGCTGGAACAAAACCCTCGCCCACACCCCCCGGATTGTCCCACTGCACCACAGGCTCAGGAAGTGTCTTCTGGGAGGGGACATGGGAGTGAGTGCAGCTGAGGGGCTGCATGGGGCGCCAGATGAGGAAGACAAGCAGGGACAGGAACTCTGAGCTGTCCTGGGATGAGCCAATTCTGGCCTTTCTTTCTCCAGCTGCTATGTGGCCCTGGGACAGTCACCTGACCACTGTCTTCTCCAGTCTCCTCACTTCTAAAGCAGGGAGACACAGATGCCTCGGGGGGTAATGAGGAATGGCAGCTTCAAAATGCTACCACCCCAGCACTCCCTAGGCACTGAATCAATATGCCCCCCAGAACCCCAGGACTCTTTGGGGGCACCCTGGAGACCACAGGAACATGTAGACTCTAAGTTTCCGGCATGTCTTCTCCAAAACGCTCACATTTTAACCAAGACATTATGGTTTTGCCTTAACCAGTCCAACATGGACTGTCCTGGGCAAGCAGTGAGGATACAGAAGTGAATCCCTGAGAGCCCTAATTTCAAGGGCTCTAAACAAAGTGAAAATCAGGTCCTCCCCTCTTACTCCGAGCAAGCTCGCTCCTATAACCCCTTTGGTGGATGATTATTTAGACCCCGTTTGAACCTTCCGCTTATGGGGACTTACTATAAGACTGCATAGTCCATAGACCCAAGTTTTAATTTTCACTTTGGTATATACTGACTGTGGTCTTTGGGTAACCCATTTAACTCCTCTGAGTCTTGGTTCTCTTAATTGTTAAACCGGTTACCACCTATGCTGCAGGGTGGCTGTGAGGGCAAGATGCTGTATGTAGCGCGTGTGGCACAGTTCCTTGCACACAGTACCCCCTCAATCCAGAGAGCTACTGCTGTTGGACCACTGAGTCTGCTGAAGCTGAAGTCTGCCTTACCCTAAGCTCCTCCACTTACCCCAGTCTGCCTTCTCGTCGTGGGGCCAAACTTCTCTCCTCTTTTAACTGTGTGTCCACAGAACTCTTCAGGGTCAGGTCACTGTCTTCTAGGGACACTCATCTGCCAATGTTCCTTTTCTGTGGGCTGACAGGAGACTCTTAGGGCCTTTGTTCTAGATACTGTATCTCCATGAATGCAGCCTGGGCTGTGTGAACTTGGGAAGCCGCTGAATTAGACAACTAGTCAGATTGAACATTTGGCCAGCTAGATTTGTCACAGGAAGCGCCCACAGGGCAAGAAGTGGCTGTGATCACCCCACTGTAGCTTCCTCTATTGTCTCTCAATCTGACTCAGAGAAAACCCTTCCTGTCCTGACCCACATCACCCTCCTCACCTCCAATCTGCCTACGCAGACCCACAAGTGCTGGATGCTACCAGAAGCAGCCACCACCACTGCTCCCCTGGTCTGCAACTTGGGAGAGCTGAATTGGTCTCCTGAGTACATGGGCCCTCTTGTCTACCAGGCCTTCCTGAGATGGCTGCAGGGTGCACAAACTCCTTCTGCAGTGGCCCCACACTTGGTAGACTCCTTGACCACACAGTCAGGGAGAACTTGGAAATTCTAGATAGGATTTGCTGCCACAAACATTCATACTGAGAACCTGCTAAGCACAAGGAGAGCAGAGAAAAATGTAACCCACTCCCAGCCTCCTGGAGATCACAGGTGACGGACAATCACATTTACAAGGGAGCCTCTGTTAGTCATACCTGGATGTGTAGCGGCATCTGACATACAAACTGACATAAACAGTGAGGTCAGGCTGGCTTCCTGGGAGCTGACACCTAAATTGAGGCCTGTTACAGATTGAATTGTGTCCTCTCAAAAATGTGTGTCAATTTAGCTAGGCCATGATTCTCAGTATTGTGAGACTGTCCACTATTTTGTCATCTGATGTGATTTTCCTATGTGTTGTAAATCCTACCTCTATGATGTTAATGAGGTAGGATTAGCAGCAGTTATGTTAATGAGGCAGGACTCAATCTATGAGATTAGCTTATATCGAAAGTCAATCTCTTCTGAGATATAAGAGAGAAACTCGAGCAGAGAGACATGAGGGCCTCATACCACCAGAAAACAAGAGCCAGGAGAATACCGCATCTTTTGGACCTGGGGTCCCTGTGCTGAGAGGCTCCTTGACCAGGGGAGATTGATGACAAGGACTTTCCCCCAGAGTTGACAGAGAGAAGGCTTCCCCTGGAGCTGGTACCCAGAATTCAGATTTTCAGCCTACTAGACTGTGAGAGAATAAATTGCTGTTTGTTAAAGCCGTCCACTTGTGGTATTTCTGTTATAGCACCACGAGATAACTAAAACAAGGTCTGAAATTTTTTTACATTAAAAAATATATTTTTAAAAAATAACACACACATTTTTAAAAACAAACAAACAACAGAAAGGACAGAAGGGTATACAGTAGAAAGTAAGTCTCCCCCCAGCCCTGGACTCCCAGTCCTCTTTTCTTCCTCCTCCTGTGCATCCTTTGAGAGTCCACTATGCACATCCAAGCAAGCACACGTGACCCACTTTTTAGTAATACAAATTGTACCATACTAGATAAAATGTACTACACCTTACTTTCCCACTTAATTTTCTGAGACCTAATCCTTCTTAACAGCTGAGTAGTATCCATTGTGTGGGTGAATATTCCACAATTCAGGTAACCAGTTCCCCATCTGTCATGGATTGAATTGCATCCTCCCCAAAAATGTGTGTATCAATTTGGCTGGGCCATGATTCCCAGTATTGTGTGGTTGTCCTCCATTTTGTGATTCTAATTTTATGTTAAAGAGGGTTAGGGTGGGATTGTAACATCCTTACTAAGGTCACATCCCTGATCCAATGTAAAGGCAGTTTCCCTGAGGTGTGGCCTGCATCACCTTTTATCTTACAAGAGATAAAAGGAAAGGGAAGCAAGCAGAGAATGGGGGACCTCATAACACCAAGAAAGTGGTGCCGGGAGCAGAACGTGTCCTTTGGACCCAGGGTCTCTTCACAGAGAAGCTCCTGGTCCAAAGGAAGATTGATAAGAAGGCTGACAAAGAAAGAAAGTCCTCCCCTGGAGCTAACACCCTGAATTTGGACTTCTAGGCTACTAGACTGTGAGAAAATAAATTTCTCTTTGTTAAAGCCATCCACTTGTGGTATTTCTGTTACAGCAGCACTAGATGACTAAGATACCATCCACAGACATTTACGTCATTCCCAGTCTTCTGTTGTCACAAACCGGCATCTACCACTTTGTGCATAAATGAGTATATCTGAAGGGTACATTCTAGAAGTCAAATTTGTGGGTCAAAGGGTACATCCATTTCTAATGAACCTAGTCTTAACGGATGAGCAGAAATGAGCCAAATAATTAGAGGAGGGTCTTCTAAACAGAGGCAGCAGTAGGAGGGAACACTGAGTGTACCCCCCGGCTGTGTAGAAGGGATATGGCACCTCAGTTTGATCCTGTGGTAGCACAAGAAGCAAGGGCAAGCAGAGGGTTGGACAGAAAAACACAGCCCAGGACATAGAGGATCAAAGGCAGGCTGAATGAGGGGTTAATAAAGGTAATTCTTTAAGCAAAGGAGTGGCAGAGTAGATTCGTATCTTAGAAAGAACATTCTGGCAGCTATTTGGAAAATGGAGTTCACGTCTTCACAACTAGATTGTCAGTGCTAGGAGAGCTTCTTGACTCTCCCGCAGCACAATACCCCGAGGAGACACTGGGTGTGCTGGCACCTGAAAATGAGTCCTATTACCCATTTAGAAATGATTGAAAAATCTTCCTTCTGAAATGCAGTGTCCTGAATTCTCACACATTAATTAGCATCCAATGATCACGAACTATTATTTCTGGGTGATTTTCTTTCCCATTAGACTCTTCAGTTCCAGATTTTGCAAAGTCTTTTCCTCTGCCCTATAAACAGACTCCCCTCCTCCTCCTCCTCCAGCTGTTCTACACACACATCTAAAACCAGAAGACCTGCTCTCCATTAATTAAATCTGCCATTAAAAATTAAATAATGTGAGTAAGAAGGTGTGAGTGCTATCTCTATGGGTTTCAAAAGTCACAGTGTTTCTTCAATTACTTCCCAAGCAGTTTTCATATTTCATACTGTCTGATTTCTCCAAGGGCCTGGGTTTGAGAGATCAAAAGACAGTGCGAGGGTGAGGGGAAGCGAGGTGAGAAGGTATGGGAGGGGGAGAGAGTGAGATACGCTGCAGGCTGGAGAACTGGCCCTGCCTCCCCATCCTTGAGCTGAGAAGAGCAGTGCAGAGGAGGGGCAGGAGTGAGACGCATAAATGCTGCACACTCAGGTGATGGAAAGTCTCCACCGACCCTGTAAGATAGAGCAGAGTAAAGCCAGCACGCAAGGTGTGTGAAGACAACACAGTCTAGTCTGCTGGCCTGGCAGATTGTCACCTCCAGGCTTGGGACCCCTGAGAGCCACACAGATCGTAGTTACTAGTAAGGAGACTTCATTCACTGCCTAGCTCTGCACAGGCTGTGCTAGGTGTCAAGGGAGATAAAGAGTCTAAGAAGGAACTTATATCTAACTGGAAAGACAAAATTAAGGACCAAGGAACATGCCAAGAACAACTAACAAGCAGCCTACGGCAGTGACGACAGGTATGGGTGCTGGAATCAGAGTGTCTGAATTGGATCAGGACCCACCTCCCACTAGCTGTGTAAGCCATGGGCAATTGTCCACACCTCTCTGTCTGGTTCCTCAGCTTCTTATCTGTAAAAGGAGAACAAGAAAAGAACCTCCTTCTTACAGTTCTGAATGAGATAATACATGTGAAATGCTCAGAACAGTGCCTGGCACAGAGTAAACACTCAATAAGTGTTTTAAGGAGGTCACAAACATCCCCATCCCCAATGCATTTAACCAACTCTACATTGTAAAGAAAGATAAGAGAGTATTGGAAGAGTGAGGGATATTTCCTTGGGGATGGAAACTCTGCAAAGGCAGGGATTTTTGTTTCTTCTGTTTGCTGCTCTATCCCCAGAGGCTGCAACAGCATCTGGCACGTAGTAGGCCCTCAATAAAAAGTCGTTGAGTAAATAGAGATGAGGGTCAGAACCTTTACAACAAAGTCTGAAATAATGATCAAGACACAGTCATTTATGTAGTCAACCAAGAAAGTGTAATGAGCCCCCACTGTACCGGGCCCTCTGTGGGAGCTGAAGACACAGCTGGTGCTGGGTGCAGCCCTGCCCTGGAGGAGCTCACAGACCTGTGTGGGGCCAAGCTGGGGTAAGCACGGGGTATAACTAGGGCATAGAGCAGGTTTAGGGCGGGGCCCACAGGGGGCCTGCAGAGGCTTTGTGGCTAGAGGGATTGAGTGAGAATCACAACTTGGCACTTTTGCCAAAAAGTGAGAGCATTTTACCAGATGGTTGGGAAAATGCAAGAGTGATGGCCACTGACTGTGCCCTGTGGCCTCTAGCAAGGCACTTTATCAGGTACTTCCAAAGAGGCTAACTCCTTGAATGCTCAAAACAATACTTCACAGCAGGAATTACCACCCCTTTTTGACAGATGAAGAAACTGAGGCCCAGCAAGCAAAAGGACCTGCCTAGGGCATCACAGCTGTGAGCAACAGAGGTAGGGTTCAAGGAGCGGTCCGTCCACTTCTGACATGGTGCCATGCTCTCCTCTTTGTGCCCAGCTGTCCCACAGGAGGAAAAATAACAAACCGAAAGGCCATGTGGACAAGACACAGTGACAATGTACAGTTACATGCAGAAAAATGTGAAGCCTATTATCCTTGCTGCCCAGAGCCAAGAAGAGATTCCCAGCAAAATCAGTGCTAGCTGGTAAGGGGCCAAGAGGTGAAGGCTCATGTAACTCCCAGAATTTGAGAGGAACAGATTGAAGATAGGAAAACTTCATGCCAAGATGCTGTCAACATGGCCAAATGTCGGTCATCTGGGGTGACTGGAAACTCACCAGCCTAATTATCCAAAGCTTCTTAAAGCTCGTTTTAGGGGAATGAAGAAAGCTAACATATTTAGGATTTAAAGAAAAAGTCTATGATTTGGAAATAATAATAATAAAACATAAATAAGATATGAGCATGTCTTTTTAAAATGGTCCAAATCATTAATATAAAAAATTTAAAAGATCAGAACAAGTAATCAGCTACACAGCCAACAAATGAATGAAAATTTTAATTTTGTTAAGCAGCTAAACAGCTGGTTCTTGGCAAACTTATGAAGTTGGTCGACTACGTTTTT